CTTATGTTAAAGTCAAAGCGACTGGAGCTACTGCTTTCAATTGCGTGCATCACCTAATCAAGCAGCCAACTCGGATTATCCTTACCTATTTTCTTACTATTCACGCGTTACTCAAGAAGCTGTCCAAACTTTCACGAACTTCTTTAAGCCAAGCTTAAGACTGGCGCCAATTACAGTTGATAATCTAGACTAATGGGGTCAACCTCTCCAAGATTGACCAAACTGATAACTGGTTCTCGAGCTTGAGGTACAAGGTCGTTGCTGGAACCTCGCTCTGGAATCAAGAGTAATAGATCGCTGCTCGATTCCAAACTAAACAATTTCTGCAATAAAATAAACTATTTGAAGCGACCAGTATTTAGAATTTAATTTTATGCCAGCGGCTACAATGCCTACTAGAAGCTTACTTTGAAAGAACACCTGCTAGTCTTGAAAAGTATTATGGGCGCTTATAAACATGTTTCTGACTTTCTCCTCTGCTGCTTACGTATTGCATGCTCTCATCTAAGATTCTTGCGTTTGACAATAGGCAAAATTATATACTTTGGCAAGAATATTTTCCATGTTCTTAGCGATGTGGTCTCAGAGCAAAATCGTTCATGTCTCTTTAACTTTCTTTCCATGACCTTTTCAGTAGCAGACAACCGATGACCCTCATCTTTCGTCAAAAAAAACACGGTTTGAGTTTAGCGGAGAAGTCCCTGTTGATCTGCCGGTCTTCCTTCCTAAGTAGGGTATAGTTCATGTGCTCAAGCCAGTTCAGTATTCCTGCTTGGTAGTCGCATGTGAGGATTGTAGCCTCATTTCTGTCTGGTCAGTAAGGTCACATTCAACAAATACATTTCAGGTTTCAACGCAACTTTCCAGAAACGTTCATAATTGATGAGTGTGTACTGATCTTTTTGTTAGACGAAACGCTGCACATATTCGACGGCAACGAGTCGTTCAAAAGTAACCGATTTCGAAGCTGTACAGTAATTCGAACATCGTCTGTCCAAGAAGTTAAAGTAAGAATGAATGTTCTACGTACTCGAAGGCGCGTGAAAGTAAAAATCAATTTCAGAAAGCGGTATTGCGAACATTCCATATTCATGACAATCCCAAATACTACTACATTTCCTGCTTTAACGAAGAGGGTAAGTACAGTTTCTATATGATGTTGCTGCTTAAAGTGGGAAAAGGAAGAAATGTGTGAGAGGGTTCGGATGTTGGTATCCGGTCTCCATTCCACTTTCATGATTGTATGTATGTATGTATGTATGTATGTATGTATGTATGTATGTATGTATGTATGTATGTATGTA